GAACCGCCGTCTCCTCCTCCGCCGCCCGCCGTTCGCCGTCCCGGAGGCTCCGCTGCCTGGGCCTCCCCGGCCGCCCTGCCCCCGGCCCTCGCCCCCACCCCCTACTCACGTGAGAGTGGCTCTTTCCGCCCTCCGCCCCGCCTCCTTCCTCATCTCATAGGCTTTCGGCTAAGAGAAGAGGCCTCATTGGCCCAACACCAGCGGCAAGGCGGGGCTTCCTTTCCTCGAATCCCCACCTGGGCTTTTTAACCCGCTTCAGGACTGCACGCCTGCGCCGGTGTGCAGGAACCGGTCCAGACCCAAGGCCTGGCTCAGCTGGTGTATAGGTTCGGACAAGCAGGGCAGCAAGGATGAGGGTGGGAGCAAGACTACAAATCCAGAAGACTAGGACTAGGGCAGGGGAATCTGCTCACCTATATCTGAAAAGCACCACTTAACAGTGTGACTCAACTCACTTGGCGTTTATAGAGGGCCGCAGTGTGCCAGGAACGCATAGATCTTTTTATGGGTGTTTCATTTCAGCTTTACCAACAAAGCTGTGACAATGTTATGTTTTTTCTCATTTTATGGGTGAGTGCAGTGTAAGTTACAGAATCCAGTATGGAAGTCAAAGCCTCTGACTCGCGGAGCTGGCAAGTAGTATAATGGTTAAGGTGTTGGACTCCAACATGGCCGACATGGTTAAAGCCCCAGACGTGGTGGCTTCCTCTTGCTCTCACTACCCCCCTTCTCTCTCTGGTCAAATTAAAAAATAATAAAGTGAAATAAATAATTTAAAAAAACCAAAAACTCTGACTCCCAATTCCAAGGACAACTGGTGCAACACAGCTCCCTTAAGGTGTTTCAGGCACTGAAGAGGGCAAAAACAGGATTGTTTAAAACAGTAACTCAAAAATGGGATCTTTTTATTTGAAAATCATTCAAAGGTGAAACACACAGCAACAGCAATGAAGTTTCAGTCCCTGTCCTGAATGAATTTACAATATAGTTGGGAAGAAAAACAATGACTATTAAGGGTACTATTAATATCTTGATAATTTGTAAAGTAATTCAACAGCCTCTCCCTTACTCTTTCACTTTCTTTCTTCAAATGACA